CTTGCTTTATATAACGTTTTTCTGTGCTTCTGTATTTTTATTTAGGAAGAATTTTTGTAAAACTTAAAAAATCAATACAGAAAAAGTCTCCTTTCACATCTTTCTTGTTCTATAAAGTACTGAGTTAATCATCTATAGATTCTTTGAAAAAAATTTTTACAAAGAAGGGGTGCCTGGGTGGCTCAGTCGTTAAGCGTCTGCCTTCGGTTCAGGTCATGATCCCAGGGTCCTGGGATGGAGCCCTGCATCGGGTTCCCTGCTCGGCAGGGAGCCTGCTTCTCCCTCTCCCACTCCCCCTGCTTGTGTTCCTTCTCTCGCTGTCTGTCAAATAAATAAAATCTTTAAAAAAATGTAAAAAAAAAATTTAAAAAGAAATTTTAAAATACTAAGATTACATATTTTGCCTTTTTTCATTTACTGTCTTTTTCTATGTTAATGATGTAGATTTCATTTCTAAACTGTATTTCATAGAAATGTAGCATAATTTAGCCATTCTTTCACTGACGGATATCCAAGTGTCTCATTATTTACAACTATAACACGTTGCAATGACTATCCTACTACAACAGAACGGAACGTTATTTTGAAGATTTTACAACCGGATAGTTCCTGACTCAGGGTAATGTATGTTTAGAGTTTTGACAGATACTGCCAAATTGTCCTTCATGGGTCACACCAATTTAAAATCTCACCAGCAGAGGCTTCAGACCTCTTCCAACACTCATTATCCATCTTTTAGTTTTTATCATAGTAACGTGCTAAGAGCATTCTTTCTCAATGAGTTTTGAGTAAATTTTTTTTTTTTCAAATTGAAGTATAGTTGACATACAACATTCATTAGTCTCGGGTGTACTTGCTTTTGGTATTTTTAATCACGCTTTTTGCTCATTAGTTTTTCTAGAGTTACTCTCAGACTTGATAATAAATATTGTCTACCTCTGGTCTCAACTTCATGCTAATGTATCTTGTAGCCTTTTAAATGTTTATAAATTTTTTCTCTGTTGATCTTTGGAGTTTGCATTGCTTAGAAAGGCCTGCCTTAGATATGTAAAACAAATTTCTGTATTTTCTTCTAGAACTTTAATATCTTTAATTCTGAAATTTTTGCATATGAAAGAGTTTTTATTTTTCTATTTGAAATGCCACCTCTGTAATAAATGTATTCATGGGGTTATTTCTGAATTTTAGTTTGTTCCACTATTTGGTCCTATTCCAGTACCTCCCTGTTACAAATACCCTAGCTTTGTAGTTCTGATGGGTATTTGGGCGAGTTCTCATTCTTCTTTTTATATTTTTTTTAAAGATTTATTTATTCATTTGAGAGAGAGCAAGCGAGAGCATGAGCAGGGGGAAGGGGCTGAGGGAGAAGCAGGCTCCCCACTCAGCAGGGAGCCCGATGCGGGACTCGATCCCAGAACCCTGGGATCATGACCTGAGCTGAAGGCAGACACCTAACCGAGCCACCCAGGCGCCCCTCATTCTTCTTTTTAAAAAAATGTTTTGGTTAATCTTGCACCTACATTCTTCCAGATAAAAAATCATCTTGTTGATTTCCACTAAAAATTGTTAGAATTTTTACTTGAAATGCAACAAATTTATAATCTGAGGAGAATCTTATCTTTACAACACTGAGCCTACTTATCTAGGGACACAGCAGATTTTTCCATTTATTCTGATTTTCTATAACATCCATAAATGAAATTTTATAGTTTTTTAAGGTAGGTTTTGCTTATTTCTTGGTAGATTTCTAGAATGTTTCACCACTGTTGCTAACGTGCGTTCTTTACATTTAAGTCGATTGTATCTAGTTTATAAAAAATCTTCTGTATGTTGCTGAGAGCTTACCATCTTCCTGTCTTACAGATTTTCCAGGTAAACGATACCATTTATCTTAATTTATCTTAATTTCTTCCTTTTCAATTTCATACCTTACTTCTCTCTCGCTTATTACTATTATACTGGATCCAAAAGTCTCAGAAGAATGTTGAATTGTATGAATGACAGGAGATATAACCTGGCTCATGACATTAAGTGTGCTGTTTATTTCTGGTTGATACCCTTCATCCAGTTAAGCAAGCTTCCTTTTGTTACTTAATATAAATTGTATTTTTTTAAAAATCAGTAATAGATGCTAATTTTTCAAGTGTTTTCGTTACCACTTACAGCCATATAGTTTTTCTCCTTTATCTACTAATGTAGAAAATTTTCATTACTTGTCTAATGTTGACCATCCTTGTACTGGTAGGATTAACCCAACTTGGTTATGACATCATTCTCTAAATGCACTGTTGGCTTGTTTCCTTAGGTTTTTTGCATGAGTATTCATAAGTGAGACTGAGCTAGGTTTTATTTTATTGTCTTTTTCAATTCCGCTATGGTTATGCGTTCATAGTTGGGACATACTCCAATCTTCTCTATGCTTTGTTCCTGGTGACTTCTGTCAGGGATATATATAGGGCATTCTTTTATGATTATCAGTTTATTCAGGTTTTCTAACTCTTGAACCAATTTTTTGAAATCTGTATTTTCCTGGAAAATTGTTCAAGTCAATTTTCAAGATTATTAGTATAAGGCTCTTCTAGGTTCACTTCTAATTATGGAAGTCCCTCGTATCTGTAATGTTCCGTTTCCAAATATTGCTTTCTTTTCTTTTTAGATTTGCTAAGTGTCTGTTCATTTATTTATTTATTTTTAAAGATTTTATTTATTTGACAGAGAAAGACAGCGAGAGCAGGAACACAGGCAGGGAGAGTGGGAGAGGGAGAAGCAGGCTTCCAGCGGAGCAGGGAGCCCGATGTGGGACTCGATCCCAGGACCCTGAGATCATGACCTGAGCTGAAGGCAGACGCTTAACGACTGAGCCACCCAGGTGCCCTCTTTATTGTTCTTTTCAAACAGAAGCTATTATTAATTTTATTTTCTATTTCATTAGCATCTGTTTTTATTAATTCCTTTAAGTTTATTTTGGGAGATTTTATTTTTTCTGCTTCTCTGCTATTTCGGTTTTCTTTTCTGATCCTTCCTGCCATTTATGCATCCTTTAAGGATGTGCTGACCCTCAGTGAATTTATCCATACAACATCACAATAAACGAAGCCTTTACCATTATTATGTAAGTGGCTACAAACTCTGTATTAATTTGGAGTCAGTCAGAGTGGGTTCAATTCCCCACCTCCTACTTAAGTGATCTTGGCCACATGTGAGCAGTTTCTTCATCTGTAAAAACAGAAATAATAATACAGATTAAGTTTGAAACTATTTGCAAATCATTTAGCTTAGAAACTGGCCCCTATTAATAACTCAATAGACTTCTGGTAAGACAAAACACCTTAGTTGCCCTATTTCTAAAGATAAGGGGACTGGGATGACTAATCCCAAATTCCCTCCCAACTGTAAAAAAGATGATTTTCATTCTATCAGTTCATCCACCAGACAAGTAACTGATCATCAAGCCACCTGCTAACCCACACCACAGCTACTAAGCCCTCCCCTTGAACTAAGTATTCTGAATGTCAGGAAAACCAAGATGAATGATGATATAGTCCCTACCTTCCAGAAACTCAGAGTCCTTGGGGAGTCGGGGTGAGGATCAACTGTTAAATAGGTAATTTTAATATAATGCGATAGTGGTCTAATAAAGGCTGTGAAAATTCAGAGACTTTGAGAAGTATGTCCAGCAAAATCAAAGATCTAGGTTGGACACCTAATTCAGGTACTTAATACTAGCTGCGAATCTTCAGGCAATTAACTTTGGTGCTTTTTGTCTCTATCTGTAAAAAGGAAGAGTAATACTGTTCTGGTAGGTTATGTTAAGGATTAAATAACAAAACTAATATAAACTACTTAGTACAGTGTCAGACTCACAGGAATTCAGCAAATGGCAATTATTAATATTACCAATATTACAAGAGGCTATGGAAGTTAAAGTCAATTTACTGTATTTCAAGAGAGGTAAGATAGGGTGAAGGAAATTTCCCAAGTGTGTTTTAAGAACAAAACCTGTGGCAAAGAAATAGGATGGGAAAAACAAAAAAGGGTGAAAGGGGAATTAAGGTGGATGATACCCCTGGAGGGCAGAGAATTCTAATTTCTCTATTCTCCACTGCTAAACCCATGTATTTCCTTTTTCCTTTTTAAGTAGGCTTCACGCCCAACGTGGGGCTGAACTCACCACCCTGAGATCGAGTCGCAAGCTCTACCAACTGAGCCAGCCAGATGCCCCCTCCCATTCCCCTGTATTTTCAATAAAGAGTGAATGGAAGAATACACATTAAGCAATAAGGTTAGAGAAAAAGATGTGGGCCAAACTGTTGAAAGTCAACATTCTACATCAAAAGGAACCTTGGAATTGGAAGTCAGAAATCCTGGGGCAGTCTTTTGACTACTGACCTGTGTTTACACTGGCTCCACAACTTACCTGTTTGTCCTTAGCGAATTACTGATACCTTAAATCGCCTCACCTACAAATCAGGGACAACACCTACCTTACAAGATTATTCTGAGAATTAAGCACCAAGCAATTACCCAAGAGCCTGGCACTAACAAGCATTCAACAATGAAAGCTGTTGCAGCTGCTAACTTTTCCTCTGGGTCTTTCTTCATACCTGTGAAATGCTAGGTTACGCACATATTTTTTTCAATGTTCCAATTAGCACTGAAAAATTATACTAGGTTTTCCAAGGACGAAGAAAGGCCCCACCCGGCCCGCGCCACACAGGTCACCTACGCAACTGCAGTTCTGGAGTCTCCACCTGCGTCGCTGAGGCATGGAAAGCGCGATAGATGGTAGGCCATTAGAGAGACAGGGCCTAGATAGGCTGGATGTGAGACCGTGCCGAACTTCACGAACACGGGTTCTTACCATCCTCCGACTTCTCTAGAGGCGAAGCCTTGAAAAAGGTTGAGAGGAAGCCGGAAGTGACGCAAGGCCATGGGGAAGTGGAAATGACGGCAGCACGCCGGAAGTTTACCCGTTTCCAAGGCAACGGCTCCACCACCCCTCCAACAGGTTGGCTGGAGTCGAGACGCTGGAAAGCAACTCCGAGGAGAGGGTACCAGCCCACGGCGGCCGCCGCCAGAACGACTCGCGAGGAGTAGTAACCGAAGACGGCGGCCGCCTCAGTAGCCATCGCGTGTGGAGGATCAACGGCCGACACGGCCAACGCGGAGGCCAGTTAAGAGAAAGAGTTAGCGAAGACCAGGACTTTAGTCCCAGCGAAGACTGGGAAAGAATCCGTGAAGACGGCGGCCATCTCTGTCGGGGCTCTACAAGAAGACTAAGTGAAGACCTCGGTTTCTCCCGCAGTGACTCGAGAAGAGTCCATGAAGACCTGGGCAGTGTCTCTCGCGAGAGACTTACGGGAGATGGTGGCCGCCGTCACAGCAGCTCTTGGGAGAGAGTAAGGGGAGCCCAAGGCTTCAGCAGCAGCGACGTGAATTTAAGTGAGGTCGGCAGCCACCGAACTAGTGACTGTGAGGGACTGGTCGGAGAAGACCGCGGCCTCTGCTTTAGTGATTCTTGGGAGGGTGTCAGAGAAGTCCCGGGCCCCCAACCCGGCGACCCCGGGGAGAGAGGCAGTGACTACTGCAGACGTCGCCTCAGTGGCTCTTGGGAGGAAGGGAGTGTCGATGGCGGCCACAGCCTCAGTAATTCCTGGGAGGGAGTAAGTGAAGACCGCGGCTACGCGGCCAGCGACTCCTCCGAGGTGAGCGTGAGCGTAGACGCCAGCCGCTGCCTCCGTGGCGTCTGGGAGAGAGAAAGTATAGACGAGGGTTTCCGCTGCCGGAGCTCTTGGGAGAAAACCAGGGAGGACCGGGTCCCCGGTCTTAGCGACGACGAAGGCAGCCACTGCAGTGGCTCGTGGGTGACAGCAAGTGAAGATCGCCGCAGCAGCGGGGGCCTGGACTCGAGTCCTCCCCGGAGTCCGAGGGATCGCACCATGCCAGGGGTGTCCGATTCAGGCCCCTCCACCTCCTCTAGGGAGACTGCAACCCCGTGTGAGTCAGACTACTTCACTTACCTTTGTCTCTGCCACTGTGCTTTTCTCATTTCACCCACAACAGCGTTGGCCCTTTCTGGCAGTTTCCTTTTTCAGCTGTGACTCCTAATTTCCCTTAACTGACCTATTTTAAGTGGGTCTCAAAGCTGTTCATCTGTTTCTCATCCTCCTTCACTTCAGCTTTCCTCTCTTTCTTTCCACCTGCATTATTCCTGAAACTTCTTGCCCAGATTGACATAAACGCTTGTTAAATGTTACGGACTCTTGGCTTCTCTGCAGCATTTGACCCTGCGGAGATGACTTTAGACTTACCTAGTTTTCTTCCTTCCACTCTGTTGACTCTCCCTTTCCCTTAGATGACTTTTCTTCCATCCTCTCCTTAAATGCTGCCCACCCCCCCGCCCGAGATAATGCCATCACTAGTGCTTTTTTTCTGGTCGTGTACTATGACTTAAACCCTAGTGAATTCTGCGTTACTCAATCATCCAGTAAATATTAATTGAGTGCCTACTATTTGTTGTATCTTAAGGTTATATCACTGAAGAAGACAGGCACATTCCTTACCTTCTAGGAAGAAAGATAAATACTGAGCAAATAATAACTAGTGTGATGAATATTATAAAGAGTAGTGTGCTATTGGCTTCAGTATGGGGTGAGGATGGGTATCAGAAAAAACTAATACTGAGAGACACGTAACACTGAGATCTGCTGCGGACTCATATATACAGCTCCCTTCTGGAACTCTTCCTTTGGCACCTCAAGATCAACATGTGCAAAATAAGATTTTGAATCCATATGCCCTCTCTGTCCTTAGGTGTCTGCTACAGGTAACTAAGCCAGACACCTTGGAGTCATCCTATTTCTCCTCCTTATTTCATCCACTGTATGCATCGAAGTTCAATTCATTCTATTTCCATATTTGTTGAATCTGTCTCCTTTTCTGTTCCTACTGCCACTCTTTTAGTTGAGGGTTTCAACCTCTCTGGTGTAGACTACTGTAGCTTTCTTCTAACATGGTCTTCTTGAGTCTCCAGTCTTGCCTTTTTGCTCCCCTTCAGCAATAGGATGGTTTTTTGTGTGTGTGTGTGTGTGTGTGTGTGTGTGGTTTCTTGACCACATCCTACTGTTCATGCTGTCTAGGTTTCCTTTCCCTGTCCCCATTTTACCTGGCAAACTCCTGCTAATCCTTGAAGATTCATTTTAGATTTTACCTTCCCCAGAAACGCGTTCTGTTCCCCTTTCTTCCTACCCTGGCTGCGTTAGATGTCTTCTGTGCTTCCATAAGTTTTTATGACTATTTCTGTCATTGCTCCTACCATATTATTTTATAATTTGTATTTGTATCTTTCTGTGAGTTCTTTGAGGACAGAGACCATGTTGTCTTCATCTTTTTATCTTTATGGTAGACACCAAATTAATGTTGAGTGGATGGATGGGTGGATGAATGAATGAATTGGGATGGGATGGGGTGAAAAAAAAAAGGCGTAAAATTAGATGGAGCCAAATTATGGGCTTGCATATATTGTCATTCTGAGAGTTTGGACTTTGTTCTCTAGACCAGCAGTGGATAACCAAGCAGTTAGTGGAGTAGAGGCATGAAGTGATCAGGATAGTGTCTCTGTATAAAGTGGATTAGAGTGGGTAGAACATCATTTGTAGATCTTGTAGTATTAGTTTAAAGGAGAAGAATGAAGGTCTGACCTAAGGGATTAACATCATCAAACATTTATTAAGTGGCTTGGTTATTTTTGGGCCCTTCTTTGTACCCTTCCCCATATGGATATATCTTAATTGTTCTTCAAGGTCTTGCTTAAATGTTTACTCCTCCAAAGTCTTAATTTTACCTGTTCTTTCTTAGTGCATCAGTCAGTTTTTTTTATTTTATCGAATTTATCCAAGTAGATTTTATTTTATTTATTTTTTAATTTTTTATTGTTATGTTATATCCAAGTAGATTTTAAAGTGTTGGTGGAAAGAAAATGTATTAAATCCATGTCCATTTTCCATCATTGAAGTGGGAGAGCTAGGTTCTTGTCTCATGGAATCGAAGAATGAATCTCATAGTCAAAGGAGAGTGAGTAAAGTGGTAGAGTTTTGTTAAGCAAGGATACAGAAAAAGCTCTCGAGAGTGAGAGGGTTGCCACTGAGGGTTTTTAGTGGCTATCTTTTATTGAGAACTGACTGGGAAATTTGTGGCCTTGGGATTCTTGTGCCATCTTGGTTTGAGCAAGGACTGTTGATAACACCCTTAATGACTTAATTTTTTGAGGTTTGGTCATTTTCTGTGATACACTGTAGCCGCCAAAGAAGAATACTCCCAAGCATCCGAAGCCAGGTGGTCTTTTCTTATATCCTGTTCACTCTGTCTTAGCGCTTCTGCCTGCCAGGAATAGTCTCAGAGCCTAGCCAGAAGCCCCCAGTCTTTCCCTGCCTATACCTTAACCCTTTCCTTATTCAATAATATCAAAGTGCTTGGCACATGGTAGATGCTCAGAAAGGATTTTTGAATAAAATGTGCAGCATTTTGTCAAGGGGTGGTGTAAGATATGATTCCAGCCCTCAAGAAATTAACATTTGAGTTGTGGAGAAAGGAGATATACATAGATAAGTAGTAGTACAGATTGCATAGATTATCTACCAGAAATGTTGGTGAGTTCTTTCGAAAACAATTTGAGGTCAGGAATCATGTCTTTTTGTTTAGGAAATGCTTTGATTAAACTCTCTTCTTCTTTCTCCTCCAACAACTGTTTGTTCATGCTTAGATACCTTTGTTCCTTCTGGCTTCAGGTACACATTAAAATATTTCACAGTCGCAATGTAGTCTCGATGTTTGGAACATTAAATTATAAAATATAAGACCACTGGGTGTATGAAGTAAACATGTGACCTGCCATTCCTTTCTTAGTGTAGTACATATGAGAAGGATAAGAAAAATAGATTGATAGAATATATCAGCCTATGTGAGATAAGGCTCTGGTAAAATCACTGGAGAGTAGGTCTCTCTTATGGAGAATGCACTGGGTATATTTCAAAATGGTTACTTTCCCCCTTTCCCTGACAAAGACATGAAGTGATTCTTTTTGACTTGTCACAGTGATAACCTGGTGGGATTTACCCTGGTGGGACAAAAATCTATGAAAATGTGGGGGCCTTCTAAGACTGTGGCCCCAGAGAGTTCTCACTCATAGGCTAATACTTGCCCAGCCTCTAGCAATTTGTCAAAATTACCATTTCAGTGGCTTTGGCTCCAGGTAAGCTGAACTTGTTTGTGTTTTTCTGTATTTGTGTGTCTCTCCAGACTCAGGGAGGCAATTGGCCCTGAGACCTCGGTTCTCTGATGAGTCCAAGAAAAGTTGTTGATTTTCTGTTTGTTCAGCTTTTCCTCTACCTATGGGAGTGATAACTTCGGTGCTCTTTATGTGTTAGAGCTGAAATGGAAGTCTGATTGAGATGTTAATCACAAACATCTTTGTGGTAAATTGTTTGGAAAACCAAAGTGATTTTGTGCTTTCTGTTGAATCATTGCTTTAGTCTTTTTTTTTTTTTTTTAAGTTTTGTAATATATGTTAAGCAATTTGATTTTCAATAGGTGCCCGGAAGAAGGTGCATTTTGGTAACATACATGATGCAGTACGGGCTGGAGATGTAAAGCAGCTTTCAGATATAATAGAACGAGGAGCCTGCATTAATGAAGTTGACATTCTCCATAAGTTTACCCCTTTACATTGGGCAGCACATTCTGGAAGTTTGGAGGTAAGAAGCTCTATAAATTATTAAACTGAAGTAAGTGTACAACTGTTAGCAGTTTTGAAAATTTAGCAAACAGGACTGAGACTTTATGCTAGGCACTGGAAATACTTTTCATTTCATTGTAATATTTGTTGTTCTGGTTACTATGCCTTTGTAACAAATTATCCCAAAAGGTAGTGGCATAAAGTGACCATTTGTGCTCAGGAGTAAATTAGGAATTTGGATCTCAGAGACAGCTTGTCCCTGTTTCGTGATGTGTGGGGCTTCAGCTGGAAGATTTAAATGCTGGGTCTGGAATCTTCTGAAGGCTTGTTTATGCAGATGTCTAGTGGAAGATGCTGGCTCTACGTTGGCCACCTTAATTCCTCTCCATGTGGGTTTTTATGTGAGGTCTCTACACCTGGGCTCGTTTGTGATTCCTTACAATGTGGTGACTGAGTTCCAAAGGCAAGCAGGGAGGGTAATTTATAGAGGGTAACATGACTATCTAGCTCTGTCAATCCTAACCTTTTTCCTAGAGTTGCATGTGAAGTCCCTTAGCACCCCTCTCAGGTGCCATTCCTCTCCTTCCAACTCCAGAGATAAAACTACAGCCCTGAATATGGTGTTTAATATTCCCATCTATACTTTATCTTGTTATCACATATGGTTATAGCGTTGTTTTTAATGACATTTTATGTAAATGACATCATCCTGTGTATCATCTTGTAGCTTGCTTTTTGTGTTCAACAATGTGTTTTTGAGCCTTAACTATGTGGTTACATCTATGTACTCCATTTCTTTCAGACACGTTCCAATAACATCTTCTTAGATTAATATCAGAATTTATCCACTTTTTGATTGATGGCTATTTAGTGGGTTTCAATTTTTAGCTAGTACAGGTAGTGCTTAGTGAATATTTTTTTTTAAAAGATTTTATTTATTTTTTGACAGAGAAAGACAGTGAGAGAGAGAACACAAACAGGGGGAGTGGGAGACAGAGAAGCATGCTCCCCGCTGAGCAGGGAGCCTGATGTGGGGCTCGATCCCAGGACCCTGGGATCACGACCTGAGCAGACGCTTAATGACTGAGCCACCCAGGCGCCCCCTTAGTGAATATTTTTATGCAAAACTTATTCTTGGGTTGTGTGCAAAGCCACCTGAACTTTTTCCTCATGATTCGAGATTGTGTGGAGCTTATTTTCATGACTACATTTCTCCAGCCTATATAGGCTGCAGTGGGTCTGTTCACTACAAAGTCTCTTGTTGCCCCTGCCACACAGAGACTGCTTTCTATGAATATGGTTTCTCTGTGTGATTTCTTGTTTGTTTGGCCTTCTCTGCTTCTTGGAACCAAATCTGGTCCAGAGAATTATATTAAATAGCTTGAACTTTATCCTATAGGGGATAGAGTCACTACATGGACTTAAGAAAGGTTTCAAGTAACATCAGATATTAGTTTGAGAGCGATAATTTTCTACTGATAACTTCATACTCTCCACCAGTTTGTGTGCCCTGCTTGAACTGTGGTAAACAAGGATTTTTGCTTTGGCCTTTTAGTGGCTTCCTTTCACCTAGGAGAAATGTGCCTTGCCAGTTCTTTCTGAGTTTATAACCCTGGGTGGGTATTTTTTCTGTTTCCTTCCGCATCCCTTTTGGATCTACACTTTGGCAGATTTCCCATATGTTCTCTGGTTTCAGATGTCTCCTAGTTTCATCAAAGATGGGGTTTTCTTCCTGTTTATCTTGCCTTTTTTTTTTTTTTTTTGATGATTTTGAAGAAAGGAAGAAGTGATCTTATTCTGTCATATTCAGATAGGATGGGGTGTCCTCTCTTTCCTGGTATCCTTTCAGCCTTTCTGATTACTCTCAGTCTTCTTTGGTTAACCTCCTCTGCCTTCTGTACAAATACAGATATTTTTTTTTCTTCTGCTAATGACCTTTTCTCTCCTACTTTATATCCTCTCTCTAGGTAGTCTTTTAGAGTTCCTTGGCTTTATCACTACTGCATAATAATTCATTGATTTGCTTTCTCTCTTGAACTCTGGCTTATGTATCAGGTGCTTGATCAACAGCTCAGGCATATCTAATAGGATCTCAAGTTGGTTTAAAACTAAACCAAGTATCCTTTTCCCTCCCTTTCTTAGTTTTCCAGGCTAATGACTTTGCATCATTATTGCATTGTCTCCGTTTTTTCCAGAGGCAAAGCACAGTATCAACATGTGTCTGAAGGTGCACTTCATAATGCACATTGATGCAGTGAGAACTGATTACTAGATCCTTGATTTTGTTCCATCTTTGTCTCCTGAGTTTGTCCTCTCCATCCTCCTAGCCACTGCTTTAGAGCTAATTGATTTTCTTCTTTTCTGTCTCATCCACCTTTAGTTCATATTCAGTATAAAGTTATCCCTCTAAAACTAATATCTGATGTTACTTGAAACCTTTCTTAAGTCCATGTAGTGATTCTATCCCCTATAAGTCATAATAAAGTTTAAGATATTTACTAGAAGGGACTTCTCTCTCCAACCTCATCTCCCATAATACTTGTTTTACTCTGTGGTACTGGTAACTACTGTCAGAGAGTGAGTATAAGCAGGGGGAGCAGCCGAGGGAGAGGGAGAAGCAGGCTTCCCTCGGAGCAGGGAGCCCAATGTGGGGCTCTATCCCAAGACCCTGGGATCATGACCTGAGCTGAAGGCAGACCCTTAAGTGACTGAGCCATCCAGGCATCCCTATATATTAATTTTTATTGGAGATTTTATTTTTATTTTTTTTAAAGACCAAGTCACCCAGGCGCCCATATATATATTTATATATACATATATTTATAAATGTTTTTAAATAGGTTTTTTTTTAGGATACCTTTTTTATTTATTTGTCAGAGAGAGAGAGCGCAAGCAGGGGGAGTGACAGGCAGAGGGAGAAGCAGGTTCCCTGGTGAGCAAGGAGCCCGATGTGGGACTCCATCCCAGGACCCTGGGATTATGACCTGAGCTGAAGGCAGACCCTTAAGTGACTGAGCCATCCAGGCATCCCTATATATTAATTTTTATTGGAGATTTTATTTTTATTTTTATTTTTTTTCCTAGGCAAAGAACTTTATTAACCTTGTTTCAAACTTTATTCCCAGGCTTCTTCAGCTTAATTAGCTGCAAAGAATGAATTGTGTATAAGCAAAAACTGTAAAGAGCTGCAGTGTCCAAGCGGCTTCGGCTTAAAAATATTAGAGATGTAGATTTTATCAGATCCATGAACAAAATTTTAAAAAGCAGTCATAATATAAAATAGCAGCTCCCAGTAGCTTCTTCAAGTTTTATCTTCTTCAGAAGTTGACTCAATTCAGTTTGCTTCATTCTTGGAAGCGTCATCAAAATTCTCCACAAGATCTGGAACTTCATCATCATCATCCTGTCTGGTAGCAAGTGGTGCTTTTCCATCCACAGATTGTTTGGGCAGAGCTTCAGCCAGTCTTCTTAAACTAGTCAGACTGTCTGCACCGAGTTGGTTTAAGATACTGGGTAGCATTTCTGTCAGCTGCTTTGTCTCAGCATGGCCTGAATGGTGATGAAAGTGTTCGCGGCCAGCGACGCCTGAACTTCGGGATTGTTAAAGTGGATCACTGGTCCTTGGTTTGTGAACATATTCACTTCTTCAATACCAGAGATATTGTTTACCCCTAACTTCTTTAAGGAGAGCTACAGTTGGGGCGCCTGGGTGGCTCAGTCGTTAAGCGTCTGCCTTCGGCTCAGGTCATGATCCCAGGGTCCTGGGATCGAGCCCCGCATCAGGCTCTC